TTTTCCATTTGTACAGGGGTAACGCACTGTATTAAATATGTAAGGTCTTATCTACGTGGGTTTGATTACAGAAACTAATAAAGTATTCTCTAAATAAAAAAAAAAAAAGAAAAAGAAAACTACAGTATGCTGAAAAAGGAGTTCAGGGCAATAAAGGCGAAGCCAGAGTCATCACAATCCCAAATTTCAAATTATACTATAAAAATACAGTGATAACAACAGCATGGCATCGGCAAAAACCAGATTTGTGAATCTATAGGACAGAACAGAGGATGTCGAAACAGCTCCAGGCACACTTGGCTACCTGATTTTTGGCAAAGGGGCCAAATACTTCTGCTGGAGGAAAGACAGCCTCTTCCACAATGGTGCTGGGCAAACTGGTCATCCACATGCCAAAGACTGAAGCTAGACCCCTCTCTCTCCTAACACACTAAATAAAATAGAAATGGAACACAGGGCTGGGGAGGTGGCTCAGTAGAATAAGCGCTTGCCTGGCAAGTGCAAGGGCCTGAGTTCAACCCCCGGGACTGCAAAAAAAAAAAAAAAGAAAAAAAAAAAAAGAAAAGAAAAAGAAAAAGAAAGAAATGAAACACAGATCTAAATATTAGAACAGAAACAATCTGCTAGAAAATAAAATAGTCAAAAGTTTCTCTAAAAAAAAAAAAAAAGTTTCTCTAAGATATAGACACAGGCATGGATTTTCTGAACAGAACCCCAGCCGCCCAAGAATTAACATCAAGAATCCACAAAAGGGATCACAACAAATTTAAAAGCTTATATATCCTACAGAAATTCCTCAAAACATTAGGACTAGAGGTTCCATTTGACTCAGTTATTCCCCTTCTTGGCATCTTTATGAAAGAATTAAAAACATCAGGCCAGCGAGATAGCTCAGTGAATTAAGCATCTGCTTTGCAAGCACAGGGACCAGGGTTCAATCCCCAGCTCCCCATGCCATGCCAGCCCTACCCCCAAGGTATACTGAGCCTGCAACTGAGTCCAGGCGTAGTGGCACATGCCTGTAATCCCAGCGCTGGGGAGGCTGAAAACAGGAGGATTACTACAAGTCCAAGCTGCATAGTGAGACCCTCTACCAAATACGTACATTAAAAAAAAAAAATGAAAAACATCATACCACAGTGATGGTTTGCAGCAGCATAGTATGTAATAGCTGAATCTTGGAAATAGTCCAACTGGTGAATGAATAAAGATGTGGCTTTTTTTTTTTTTTTTTTTTGATGGAACCAGGGATTGAACTCAGACCTTTGCACTTGCCAGGGAAGCATTTATTCTACAGAGCCATCTCCTCGGCCCCAAAGATGTGGATTTTTTAAAAATTGCAGTGAAGTACTACTCTGCCATGAAGAAGGATAAGCTTGGGACATTTCTAGGTAAACAGATGCACTGAAATCATGCTCTTCAGTGAAATAAATCAGACACATGGCCGGAGAGATGGCTCAGAATAGGCACTTCCTTGGCAAGTGCAAGGGCCTGAGTTCAATCCCCAGTTCCACCAAAAAAAAAAAAAAAAATCAGACACACATGTAAATACCACATTGTTTTTCTGGTGTGAGAGATCAAAAGTGTAAATAAAGATCAAAATGTATAATAGATATCGTGAAACAGGAAGAAAATGTTCAAATAGGGAAGGAAACAAGGGAGGGAGGAGGGGGAAAGAAAAAAAGAAAAACACGGAAACACAGCTTTTGTAAATGTGGAGGGAAGGAAGGCTGAAGGGAGAGTCGGGGAATGGGGAAAAAGAAACAAGTTATATCACGCAGAGATAAAATTCTCTATGATGAATATGCTCATTAAGTATATCCAAAGTATACCAATAAAAGCTGATTGGAAAACAAAAATATTAAATAAATTTTTTAAAAAAGCTTCTGCACAGCAAAGAAAACCTCCAACAAGGTAAAGAGGCAACCTACAAAATGAAAAAATAGTTTTGTGAGCTACTTTTCAGCCAAGGACTAATATACTTTTTTTTTCCCTAATACGCTTCTATTTGTTCCAGTTCACCTGCATTGAATGTACTGCACATGCACAATAATTTTTAAAAATACTAGAAAAGTATTTTTAAAATATTCTAATATTTAAAATACTTTACAGGGCTGGTGAGCTAGCTCAGCAGAATAAAGTGCCTGCTAAGGCCCTCCCCCTCCATGGCGCCGCCCGGGCTCATTCATTCCGCGCCGGGCCCGCTGGACACCTGCGTGCCGCTCTCTCCAGCCGGGGCCGCCGCAGCCTCCACCGCCGCGTCTGCCGCCAGCATGTCGGGCTCCGTCACCGAGACGCCGTCGGCTATCCAGATCTGCCGGATCATGCGGCCTGACGACGCTAATGTGGCAGGCAACGTGCACGGCGGCACCATCCTGAAGATGATTGAGGAGGCCGGGGCCATCATCAGCACCCGGCACTGCAACAGCCAGCGCGGGGAGCGCTGTGTGGCTGCCCTGGCCCGGGTCGAGCGCACCGACTTCCTGTCACCCATGTGCATCGGCGAGGTGGCTCACGTCAGTGCAGAGATCACTTACACCTCCAAACACTCTGTGGAAGTCCAGGTCAACGTGATGTCCGAAAACATCCTCACAGGTGCCAAAAAGCTGACTAACAAGGCCACCCTGTGGTACGTGCCCCTGTCACTGAAGAATGTGGACAAAGTCCTCGAGGTGCCTCCTGTGGTGTATTCCCGGCAGGAGCAGGAGGAGGAGGGCCGGAAGCGGTACGAAGCCCAGAAACTGGAGCGCATGGGGACCAAGTGGAGGAACGGGGACGTCGTACAGCCTGTCCTGAACCCAGAGCCCAACACTGTGAGCTACAGCCAGTCGAGCCTGATCCACCTAGTGGGGCCCTCGGACTGCACCCTGCATGGCTTCGTGCATGGAGGTGTCACCATGAAGCTCATGGACGAGGTGGCTGGGATCGTGGCTGCACGCCACTGCAAGACCAACATCGTCACGGCTTCTGTGGATGCCATAAATTTTCACGATAAGATCCGAAAAGGCTGTGTCATTACCATCTCGGGCCGCATGACCTTCACGAGCAACAAGTCCATGGAGATCGAGGTGCTGGTGGATGCGGACCCAGTGGTGGGCAGCTCGCAGAAACGCTACCGGGCCGCCAGTGCCTTTTTCACCTATGTGTCGCTGAGCCAGGAGGGCAGACCACTGCCCGTGCCACAGCTTGTGCCCGAGACGGAGGACGAGAAGAAGCGCTTCGAGGAAGGCAAGGGGCGATACCTACAGATGAAGGCAAAGCGGCAGGGCCAGGCAGAGCCTCAGCCCTAGATGCCCCCCTGCACCAGTGGGGCCTGAGCAACTGCGGTGACAGCCCCACATCCTGTCACTTAGTCACCCCCTGGCCAAATCCCCACCGCACACTTTGAGCTGGTGTTGTGTGAAGTCCCCATGTGACAGTGTTAGCCTGCACCCTGTCCTGAACACCTGTGCACCAAAGCTTTATTTATACCCTTCTAGTATAAATGCTACACAGTATTGTCCCGGACGCCGGAGGTGCCCTGGGGACCCATGTAAGGTGTGTCACAAATCCAGCACTAATAAAGCTGCTCTTCAGCTGGAAAAAAAAATAAATAAATAAAAAAATAAAGTGCCTGCTAAGGCAAATGCAGGGACCACCGTTCGACCCCTGGCATCAGATGCTGCCCAGCCCTGCCACCTGGGCAGGCTGAGCTGGCCACAGAGCCCACACGTAGTGATTCCAGCACTGGGAGGCTGAAAGCAGGAGGATCACCATGAGTCTGAGCTTGTATAGTGAGATCCTGCAACAACCAAATACACTAAAATAATAACAGTAATAAAATACTTTGCACCTGATATTTCATCAGGTGTCCCATTAATGGCATTTAGTTCTAGGACCAAATTTGGAATATCACCTTATATTTCATTGTCCTCTCTAGAGTTTCATCTAATTTGTGACAATTCATTCAGCTTGTCTTTTTTTTTTTTTTTTTTTTTTTTGGTGGAACCAGGGATTGAACTCAGGCTCTTGTGCTTGCCAGGCAAGCGCTTATTCTACTGAGCCATCTCCCCTGCCCCTCAGCTTGTCTTTAAGGATCTTACAGAAAAATACTGTCTCTCTCTAATTCACACTGTTGAGAATATCAATCACTTATTTTGTTTAGCCTGTCCAATAGATTTTTTTTTTTTTTTGATAGTACCGGGGATTGAACTCAGGACCTTGCACTTGCCAGGCATGCACTTATGCCACTGAGCTAGCTCCGTGGCCCTCAATCACTTATTTTGCAAAACGCCTCTCAAAGCAGATTTGTCTGTCATGTTCTCCTGACTAGATTCAAGTTGCATTCGTTGGCAAGAACGTAACTGAAGGATGGGCCTTTCTCAGAACACCCCACCGTGGGAACAAGATGTTACTCTGTCATAGTACAGGTGATGTTAACCTTGACATGTGGTTTGAGTGACGTCATGGATGAATTCTATCTCCACAAAAAGGTATGTGCAAGCTCTGTGCTTCACCTGTGAGTGTGACCTTCGTGGACTTAAAAAAATGGGGCATGTTGGATTAGCGTTAGCCCTAAGTCCTTTTATGCTGTCCTTATAGAAAGGGGAAATTAGGGGGCCCGCCCATTAGCTCAGGTGTTTAAGGGCCTGCTAAAACAAAGCAGTCAGGCTCAGGATGCTGTGGTTTGGTCCCCTCATCCTCAAGCCAAACCAGACCTACCCTTAAGGCATGGGGGGGGCCCTCCAAAAAAAAAAAAGGGAGAAACTAGCCATGCATGGTGGCATATGCCTATAATCCCAGCACTCCAAGAGGCTGAGGCAGAAGGATGGTAAATTCAAGTCCAACCTGAGTAATTTATCAATTTAGCAAGACTGTGTCAACAACAAAGGGGGGGTAGAGTCACTCAGGATATAGCTTGGTGCAATTTTCTGAATGGAAGGCAGAGAGGGAGAGAAGCCAAGTGTGGTGACGCCTGTAATCCTAGTACTCAGGAGGCTGAGGCAGGAAGACAGCCACAGGTTTCAGGTCAGGTTGGGCTGTACACTGAATTCAAGACTATGCCAAAAACAAAACAAAACAAAACAAAGAAAACACCTAAAACAACACACACACACACACACACACACACACACACACCCAAAAAAAAGAAAAAGAAAAAGGGAGGGTTGCACAGAATCATGAAGGGTGAAGTTGGTCATGTGCTGACAGAGAAGGGACCACGGAACTCAAGTATCTATGAACTAAAGAATACCAAGGATTGCCAGCAAAAACCAGAAACTAGGAAGCGAGAGGAAGGATTTCTCCGTAGGCTTCAAGAGCGTGGCTACGCTCACACCTTGATTTCAGATTTCTAGCTTGCAGAACTACAAGACCCTACATCTGTGTTGCTTTGAGCCACTTGGCTTGTGTACGTGTTAGAGCAACCCCGGGAAGCTACCACGCGTGGTGCTCTAGGTTTTCTTCACTATTAAGTTACTACTGTCATCTCTGTCCATAATACATATCCTGGAGATCCTTTGTAACTACAGGTATCCTTTTCTTTTTTGGCACTGAGGACTGAACCTGGGGCCTTTGCCCAAGCCACCTTCCCAGCCCTTGTTCATTTTTTATTTTGAAGCAAGGTCTTGCTAACTCATGACGTTGCCCAGGCTGGACTCAAAGTTTCAAGCCTCCTGCCTCAGCTCCCCGCAGGACTGGAGTCACAGGTGTGTGTGTATCCTTTTACAACAAACTCAGGGAGCATTTGCCAAGTACCTACAAAATGGGCATCTCTGAAGTACACAGTTGTCACTCATGAAGAGAGTGTCTCCTCTCTGTACAGGGAAAACCCAGTAGATCCAGACAGAATGCTCCAGAGCCAGCACTGCCCACAGCTGCCAAGGAAGGGGGCAGGTTAGGCAGTCAGCAGACGAGCTAGGCAGACATGCGCAGAGGCAGGACAGACGCTGGCTGCAGTGACGGGCTTCGGGCGAGAAGACTAGGGCCGTGGCTGCGGGAATGGGCGCTCCTTGGAACTCACAAGCAACTCTATTGTGTTTTTTTGGGGGAGGGAAACAGGGAAATAATGAGATAACTGTTTCTAATTCCAAAATTTCCATTGAACCTTTTTTTCTCTGCTCTCTTTCCCCTGGCACAGTGTTCAGGAACCTGGTGTCATGTGTTACCCAGAAGATGAAAAGCAAAGAGAGGCCCAAGTTCCAATGGAAAGCTGGTCCCATTCATTCAGCCACTGAGGTCAGAATCACTGGTTTTTAACCCACAGGGTGAGCAAAAGGCTTTCAAAGTCATCACTCCATCATTTTCCTCTGACAGAGCTTATGAGTGCTTCAACACGGGACGACAAGCTTTGTGGACTGTGACGAACCACCAAGCATGATCCCAGAGGACCCCTAATTCTGTGCCCCTGTGACTCACTCAGACGCGAAGTCCACACCCTCGTGTTTGTTTTTGCCAGCTGTGATCTTGGCAGCCTGCAGCCTGGCACGAGGCCCTCAAAGGAGATTTGATTTCCTCTTTGATGAAGTGGCCCAACTCTCTCTTCTGTATCAGGTGCTAGGAGGGAAACGCTACAATATCCTTCTTTTAAAAAAGAATAGCCAATGTTTGTTTTGTTTTTGCTAATAAGGGAACAAGGAGAACCTGGATTTTAAAAAAAGGAAAAAAAATCCTGGGAGCTCCTGGTTGTATTCAGTCTCATGGCCACGCTGCCGAAAGGCTACTGCGGGCTGGCGGAGCTCTCATTTCTCCAGCTGTGGCCCGTGAAAGTGCTCAAGAACAGACGATGGCAATGTCGGGACCTCGCAGGCGAGGTTGCAAGCTCAACCAGCGGCTCTTGGGACCGTGGGACAGAACCTGCCGGGCTGGAGGTGCAGCTCTGGGCTACAGCCTGTGCTCAGCAGCACGCACGAGGCCCTTCCTAGGTTCTCTCTCCAGCTCTGAAACAAAACAGAACTGAAAACAAAACACCCCCCCAAATTAACTGAAGTTGGAGAAATGATTCATTCCCCATATATCAAGCTCTCCCTGCCTGAGTCAGTCAGCACGGAGGGCCAACTCAACATCCACAGAAGTGCTTTTCGCGGTGCCTTTGTTTGTTGGTTCAGGGAGAGACCCGAGGACAGGCTGGGGAGCCTGCACAGTGCAGGCTGCTGAGACCACGACCCCGCCCTGCCCCACCCCCCAGCCTTCTATGCAGCGCAGTGAAATAAAGCAACAGGGATAGAAGGACCTCATCCCTTATGACAGTCTCTGTGGGCTTCCTGGCTTCCTGTTTTGCAGGCCGTCTTCAAGTACAAAACAAGACACTGGCAAAGCATTACAGCCCTCTCAGGTAGGACTAAACTGAATAATAGCAAAATGAAGGAAGTGAGTGAGTGGGGCACGGTGGTGCATGCCTGTAATCCCAGCACTCGGGAGGCTGAGACAGGAGGATCGCTGAGTGACCAGCCTGAGCTACAAAGTGAGCTGAATGCCAGCCTGAACTGCAGAGTGAGACTCTGTCTCAAAAAGACAAAATTAAAAAAAAAAAAAAATTAAAAAAGAAGTCAGGGGAATGACAGATGGATTCCATCCAGTATACCCTGAATAAATAATTTCAGTACAAATTCTAAAAAGGCTGCTATGATGTTCACTGCACCCCACTTTTCCTTCTGAGGGACAACTTCCAGCCAATTCTTGCTTTTATTCTCATTACCATTGAGTTTGACCCCCACATTGAAAAGCTATCTGTCCTATTTGCCTGCCATGCGGAATTTCCATTTTGGCTGAATGAAGGTTTATGAGTTGGGGGAAAAAAAAAAAACCTGGGGAAACAATTCAGCAATATACGGGACTCTCTGAGCACTACAACAGGCAGCAGACTAGTGCCAGTAAAATAAAACAGAACCACTGTCTCAGACTGCAGTTTTGGCTAAGGTTTCACTCTTCAATTACTTTCAAAGTCATTCGTTTTAGTCAACATTATAAGGGTAAGTCAACATTTGTCCTGGCAGCGAGCCCAAATGTGTTATTTTATTAGTCTGCTACTGGTTAAATTGGCCCAAGATTAAACACTTCTGATAAATAGCCCTAAAATATTGGAGATTAGCAGAAAACCATGTTCAAGTTCTCTTACACAGAATGTCACTATTACTTAACCCTGGGCAGCAGAAACCCACACCTACGCCCCGGCTAAGTTCCTTTTAGCAAACGCCAGCCCCTAGTGCTTGAAGCTCATCTCTGTCCTGCCCAGACACAACGTGAGAGACATTCAGAGAAAGGGGAAGCCAAATATTTAGGTCTCTCTGTGGTCCCTGGCTCCAAATCTGCCTTCTGAACATCAAGCACATCCTTGCTCTGACAAGGCAGAAAGGGTCAGATGTTCAGGAATGAGCCAGTTAAAGATCTTGACCTCCAAGAAAAGCAGGAAAGCTGCCAGTAGAGCTG